ATGTATATATATGTATATATTATTATAAGCAACATCATCAAACAAAAAATTGATTAGTCTCTATCAATTCGGTACACGAAAATGCAACGAAATGCAACGTTCTCAAAGCTTTACTTGAATGCGTCTTCAGGAAATCAAAATGCTCTTGGATTTTAAATTCTAATTCCTAAGTAATAAAAGGGTAAGAGGAACATCGGGATGACGAAGTTGGGAAAGTTCCTCGCGCACTTAGCAGTGGCGAGTCATTCGAAGAACATCGACTAAATTACTACAGCAATTTTCAGAATTAATGTCTGCAAACGATAAAGATGGAGACACAGATGAGATAAATCCCCTTAATTTACTGTAGCTCCATTTTTGGTTGGAACTTTAGCAGATAAATGATTACGGTGCAGATGTTACTAACTTTTAGCATTTTACTGTCGACATAACAGCTTAATTCATCTGTCATTGTTCGATTATAAAAACTTCAATGAAAATTATCGCTGTCATATTGACTTATTAGATTCATTATCGTCGTCATTGCATTAATGATGATACATGTCCGATTTAACGTATCGATCTCGTCAGATCGTTCGATGCTATCAGACACGCGACTGACGTGCGACCAAGTGAATGGCCCTGATAGATTACAATTGTGCGTTCTCTCTCACGCATTTTGACTGTACCATCAACAAATTTTATCCTGTCATCCAACATATCAATAACAAATAAAATATTACAAAATCTATGTTTTAGAAATCTATGTTTTAGTATACATGTCGAATTATATGTGAAAAAACATATACTCCCTCCGTTTTAACTAATTTTTGGTTGGCAATCGGAAATAAAAGCTTATCGCTTCATGCTATTTTTTATATTCTTAATAAATGTAAAATCCAATTTTTTACTTATCGGGTTTCAAAACTAATGCTAACGATGACAATTTGCCCCAGAGCTACTTACTTTAAAAAAACCTCAGGTTAGCTTCTGTTTTTGAAATGATAGCTACGTAGAATGCTGTATCTTTTTGCACAAACTGTTGCCATGGTAAAAAATATATAAAAATTTTTTAATCCTAAGTCTGTGTAAAGAAAACAGTTTGTAGGGATAAAACTGAAATACCAGGAGTATATTGAAAATGCATATTGAAAAGCCTGAAGTCAAAGCTTCCGCTTTACTTTATATAGATAACGCTACGTTTAGTTTTCATATTAAATTAAGCAAACTATAATATGAACTAGCCAACTAATATTTTTATATATTCATAAAATTTTTCAGTCATAAGATAATGCTTTCGTTGTATTCGAAAGCATAATTACCTCTTTATATATCAGTAAATTCTGAATCAAAAGCTGGCCTGTCAAATACAACTGTTAGTACAATAACGCACTAATAAAGGCACATTAATGCGATAAGAGATGTTCATTCAAACAGTATCCGTGTGCGGTCTAGGATAAAATCTAAATTAGCGATCACGCAAAGCAAGACTAGATTGATTCTAATATTAGCTTCTACATTTTTGCGAGAAATGTCTGTTGGCATCTGTTGACGTTCGTCAACCAACGTTGCGAGATTGAGATATTAACAAACAGTTTTCAACAATATATAATAAGATAATGTACGTTTTAATGATGTGTGATGATAAACACGTTTTAATGATAGTGTTTTAATGATACGAGTAGTTTTTAATGATATAACCAAATGGATTTACACTATTTTTAAAATTGACTTATACCAATAAGAAAACTGACAAACATCAAAAATAAAGTTTTGCATAGGAGATTTTAACTTTTTCATAGGACTATAGCATAGTCATAAGATTGTAACTTTAAATGTCTTCATTCCTTGATGGGCATTCCTTCTCGATCATCACTCCCTTCGGTACCCTCAACACGAACTCTATTACCCAATATCAGATAAAATTCCTTTCATGACATATACATAATCATATGCAAGCCGAAGATGACATTTCGCTCGTTCAATATCATCGACTAAAATATTCTTCCAACGATAGGGATCGACTGCGAAACGTCAACATTGACGTGACTCAATCGCTGATTTATATATAATAAAATTCCCACACGCGAATATTTTTATTAAATTAATGCAAAAATTTACTTATAAACTCCAGCAAAAAAAGTGAGCTAAGAATCGAGTTATATTTGTAAAAAATAAAAAAGAAACGACAGTGAAGCATTATAACAATTGATTCAAAATGCAAATTAACTAATAAATCATAAATTTAAACAACTATATTTGTACTGATTATGTCAAATGTAAATAATTATTCGCAAGCATTAAATTCGTTGTCAGACGTTATTTTATTAAATTAAATTTAGAAATATTTCTTTGCTAATTTCATTGTTATCTACGTTGCATAATATTCTAAAGTAATGCTATAAAAAAATGCATTAAAAAAAAAAGAAAAAAGAAATTACGCAATTATTTGCTATATATAATTATGGCAATAGTTATGTAAATATCTAAATGTCTATTGATCGAGAAAGATTGTATCAATAAAACTGTGACAAACATATAAGATTAACGTGTCCGTTAGGTCTTCATTTTATCTAAATGTATCGCCTAACGCTGAGTTTGCAATTTCACGTAAAAATAAGAAAACGACAACGCAATTTAATGCCTAGACATTTATTATGATATATCTGATGCTCTATGTAGTTTTTATTCATCCAACTTTAATATATATCTGACGAGAAACTTTATCAAAATTTATTACTTATTATTGGACTTGAAAATTTACTAAAAAAACCAATTTACTAAATAATTTCAAAAATATTTATTGATTATTAATAATAACGGAAATTCTTGTCTCTCATGCCTCATTGCAAATTTTCGGGAGCGATACGTGAAGGAATTTTCCATTGTATCATAACGAAAGCATCGTGAATGAACAGTTTGATCAAGATCGCATATTTTAGCGGAAATTTTATTAGATACACCGTCCGGAATCTTCGACACGTAGGAGAAGGGGAAATTGAAGCTCCATATTTTCCTGCTCATCGTTACCTTCGACGAGCGATGCTGGCGCGAGAATAATTTAAATAGGAAATCGGAATGCCACCGTTCTCTCATATTTTATCGCGCGACTTTATTAGACCGAAGGAAGAAGAAGCCTACGCCGGAATCTGATAACTCGTAATTGCGTAAAAACGAAATGCAAAGAAGTAGAACTGAGCTAATTTAACGAACGAAGGATAATGAAATTTAAATCTCTGCTCGTTTTCATCTCGCTACTGTCAAATTTCTTCTCGCCGACCGAAATGAGATTCGTCCTATCTTGTCTTTGACGAAGACTCAAATAGTTCCGAGGTGAGAGAGGCTTCGTTTCGAGATCTAAACGTGACAGCCGTGGCAGTGTAGCCTGTCAGAATTAAAATAAGAAGTACAAACGCGGTCGACATATGTGCAATTTCTATGCCTTATACTCTGGAAATATTCCTCGAAAGAAATAATTTCGGATATTTATCAAATATCTCGCATGAATAACGAGCTTGTTTTTCAAATAAATTTTATATAAAGATAAAAACGAGAAAACATACAACAAAAAAATGACGAATAAAAATTCCTTGCTATTTTCTAGTAAAAAAAAAAAAAAAAAAAAAAAAAAAAAAAAAAAAAAAAAAAAAAAAAAAAAAAAAAAAAAAAAAAAATAATAATATATATATATAATATATATATATATAT